TCGTTCCAAACGAAATATCGGATATCGATATTTGTATCGATTGCTTGGAAAGGGAGTGAGTTATCGACTATCGGAAATAAACTCGATCTGCGCGGGAACTAGGAGCACCTACATTTAAAATTTTAAATCATAGCTCTTATATGTTCCGCGCGGAGTTATGTCGTTTTGGAACATCATATCTCCGCGCGCAGTTATGTCGTTTTGGAACGTCATATCTTAGCGGGGCGTTATGTCGTTTTGGAACGTCATATCTCCCCGGGGAGTTATGTCGTTTTGGAACGTCATATCTCCCCGGGGAGTTATGTCGTTTTGGAACGTCATATCTCCGCGGGGAGTTATGTCGTTTTAAAACATCATATCTCCGCGTGGAGTTATGTCGTTTTGGAACGTCATATCTCCGCGCGGAGTTATGTCGTTTTGGAACGTCATATCTCCGCGGGGAGTTATGTCGTTTTGGAACGTCATATCTCCGCGGGGAGCTATGTCGTTTTGGAACGTCATATCTCCGCGGGGAGTTATGTCGTTTTGGAACGTCATATCTCCGCGGGGAGTTATGTCGTTTTGGAACGTCATATCTCCGCGGGGAGTTATGTCGTTTTGGAATGTCATATCTCCGCAGGGAGCTATGTCGTTTTGGAACGTCATATCTCCGCGCGGAATTATGTCGTTTTGGAACGTCATATCTCCGCGGGGAGTTATGTCGTTTTGGAACGTCATATCTCCGCGGGGAGCTATGTCGTTTTGGAACGTCATATCTCCGCGGGGAGTTATGTCGTTTTGGAACGTCATATCTCCGCGGGGAGCTATGTCGTTTTGGAACGTCATATCTCCGCGGGGAGTTATGTCGTTTTGGAACGTCATATCTCCGCGGGGAGTTATGTCGTTTTGGAAAGTCATATCTCCGCGGGAAGTTATGTCGTTTTGGAACGTCATATCTCAGCGGGGAGTTATGTCGTTTTGGAACGTCATATCTCCGCGCGGAGTTATGTCGTTTTGGAACGTCATATCTCCGCGCGGAGTTATGTCGTTCCAAACGACATATCGGATATCGATATTTGTATCGATTGCTTGGAAAGGGAGTAAGTTATCGACTATCGGAAATAAACTCGATCTGCGCGGGAACTAGGAGCACCTACATTTAAAATTTTAAATCATAGCTCTTATACGTTCCGCGCGGAGTTATGTCGTTTTGGAGCATCATATCTCCGCGGGGAGTTATGTCGTTTTGGAACGTCATATCTCCGCGGGGAGTTATGTCGTTTTGGAACGTCATATCTCAGCGGGGAGTTATGTCGTTTTGGAACGTCATATCTCACCGGGGAGTTATGTCGTTTTGGAACGTCATATCTCACCGGGGAGTTATGTAGTTTTGGAACGTCATATCTCCCCGGGGAGTTATGTCGTTTTGGAACGTCATATCTCCGCGGGGAGTTATGTCGTTTTAAAACATCATATCTCCGCGGGGAGTTATGTCGTTTTAAAACATCATATCTCCGCGTGGAGTTATGTCGTTTTGGAACGTCATATCTCCGCGGGGAGTTATGTCGTTTTGGAACGTCATATCTCCGCGGGGAGCTATGTCGTTTTGGAATGTCATATCTCCGCGGGGAGCTATGTCGTTTTGGAACGTCATATCTCCGCGGGGAGTTTTATCGTTTTGGAACGTCATATCTCCGCGCGGAGTTATGTCGTTTTGGAACGTCATATCTCCGCGGGGAGTTATGTCGTTTTGGAACGTCATATCTCCGCGGGGAGCTATGTCGTTTTGGAACGTCATATCTCCGCGGGGAGTTATGTCGTTTTGGAACGTCATATCTCCGCGGGGAGTTATGTCGTTTTGGAACGTCACATCTCCGCGGGGAGTTATGTCGTTTTGGAAAGTCATATCTCCGCGGGAAGTTATGTCGTTTTGGAACGTCATATCTCCGCGGGGAGTTATGTCGTTTTGGAACGTCATATCTCCGCGCGGAGTTATGTCGTTCCAAACGACATATCGGATATCGATATTTGTATCGATTGCTTGGAAAGGGAGTAAGTTATCGACTATCGGAAATAAACTTGATCTGCGCGGGAACTAGGAGCACCTACATTTAAAATTTTAAATCATAGCTCTTATATGTTCCGCGCGGAGTTATGTCGTTTTGGAGCATCATATCTCCGCGGGGAGTTATGTCGTTTTGGAACGTCATATCTCCGCGGGGAGTTATGTCGTTTTGGAACGTCATATCTCCGCGGGGAGTTATGTCGTTTTGGAACGTCATATCTCCCAGGGGAGTTATGTCGTTTTGGAACGTCATATCTCCGCGGGGAGTTATGTCGTTTTAAAACATCATATCTCCGCGTGGAGTTATGTCGTTTTGGAACGTCATATCTCCGCGGGGAGTTATGTCGTTTTGGAACGTCATATCTCCGCGGGGAGTTATGTCGTTTTGGAATGTCATATCTCCGCGGGGAGCTATGTCGTTTTGGAACGTCATATCTCCGCGGGGAGTTTTATCGTTTTGGAACGTCATATCTCCGCGCGGAGTTATGTCGTTTTGGAACGTCATATCTCCGCGGGGAGTTATGTCGTTTTGGAACGTCATATCTCCGCGGGGAGTTATGTCGTTTTGGAACGTCATATCTCCGCGGGGAGTTATGTCGTTTTGGAACGTCATATCTCCGCGGGGAGTTATGTCGTTTTGGAACGTCATATCTCCGCGGGGAGTTATGTCGTTTTGGAACGTCATATGTCCGCGGGGAGCTATGTCGTTTTGGAACGTCATATCTCCGCGGGGAGTTTTATCGTTTTGGAACGTCATATCTCCGCGCGGAGTTATGTCGTTTTGGAACGTCATATCTCTGCGGGGAGTTATGTCGTTTTGGAACGTCATATCTCCGCGGGGAGCTATGTCGTTTTGGAACGTCATATCTCCGCGGGAAGTTATGTCGTTTTGGAACGTCATATCTCCGCGGGGAGTTATGTCGTTTTGGAATGTCATATCTCCGCGGGGAGTTATGTCGTTTTGGAACGTCATATCTCCGCGGGGAGTTATGTCGTTTTGGAAAGTCATATCTCCGCGGGAAGTTATGTCGTTTTGGAACGTCATATCTCCGCGGGGAGTTATGTCGTTCCAAACGACATATCGGATATCGATATTTGTATCGATTGCTTGGAAAGGGAGTAAGCTATCGACTATCGGAAATAAACTCGATCTGCGCGGGAACTAGGAGCACCTACATTTAAAATTTTAAATCATAGCTCTTATATGTTCCGCGCGGAGTTATGTCGTTTTGGAGCATAATATCTCCGCGGGGAGTTATGTCGTTTTGGAACGTCATATCTCAGCGGGGAGTTATGTCGTTTTGGAACGTCATAACTCCCAGGGGAGTTATGTCGTTTTGGAACGTCATATCTCCCCGGGGAGTTATGTCGTTTTGGAACGTCATATCTCCGCGGGAAGTTATGTCGTTTTAAAACATCATATCTCCGCGTGGAGTTATGTCGTTTTGGAACGTCATATCTCCGCGGGGAGTTATGTCGTTTTGGAACGTCATATCTCCGCGGGGAGTTTTATCGTTTTGGAACGTCATATCTCCGCGGGGAGTTATGTCGTTTTGGAACGTCATATCTCCGCGGGGAGTTATGTCGTTTTGGAACGTCATATCTCCGCGGGGAGTTATGTCGTGTTGGAACGTCATATCTCCGCGGGGAGTTATGTCGTGTTGGAACGTCATATCTCCGCGGGGAGTTATGTCGTTTTGGAACGTCATATCTCCGCGGGGAGTTATGTAGTTTTGGAACGTCATATCTCCGCGGGGAGTTATGTCGTTTTGGAAAGTCATATCTCCGCGGGGAGTTATGTCGTTTTGGAACGTCATTTCTCCGCGCGGAGTTATTACCCGAGATTCTACATCCAAAATATCAGTCTCTAGCTCCTATAGGTTCTGAGATCCTTGCGTTCATATATACGGACGGACGGACGGACAGACAGACGGACATGGCTAGATCGACTCGGCTATTGATGCTGATCAAGAATATATATACTTTATGGGGTCGGAGATGCTTCCTTCTGTCTGTTACATACATTTGGATTTCGCATATATACAATATACCCTTATACTCATTTTTAATGGGTTCAGGGTATAAAAAAAGATAATGATTGTAATTATAAAAGATGAAAGAAAACCTAAATTTTTATGGGCCGTGGGAAATTAATATTTAAGTTTGAGTACCTCTGGCTTAATACAAGCTTCCGATACATAAAACGAAAATGTATTGGTGATAATATATTTAGAGATATAATATTATTGAAGTATTTAGCATGTTTATATTGGAATATATCTGGATGTAAGATGGGGTTTACCTATATTGTTTTTCTTATTAAATTATTAGCAATATGATGGTGTTTGATTGGTGATAGTTAATTTAATAATTCATCAATTTTAGCTGAAAACTCACCTGCCATATATATACTGCACTTCTCTTTTGCGCACCTGTAAAAGCTGAAATAAACAAGAATTTATGAAGAATTTTTTTTTATAGAACAACAATATATTATTCTTACAATATAAAAACGACTGTAAAGTTGTCTCTAAATAATCCCATTTGATATAGCTGAAAAGTTGCCTAAGTCTTGTAACTCTAGAGCAAATGGGCAGCACTGTATTTTAAGTGTGCCCAGATTATATTTTAAGTGTGCCCAGATTATAGGAGAACAATTATTAATAACAATTATTAATAACAATTATTAATATTTATCAGATTCATGCTAGATGCATTTAGTAGATTTTATTTAGGACCTGCAGAGAATACCCAGTATTATGTTGAAAAAGTTTTGTATTCTTGTTTTTCCCTCTCTCCTTATATGTTCTTTATTTTGCTTACTTTTTATAATTTTTAGTCTTATAATTTTATAGCTTCAAAGTTATTTTAATTTATTTTTGATTTTCAACTCCTATTATGCGCTTTACTATCGCAAATAAAACATGCAAAAACTATCGCTAAATTCACAAACCAGTGCCTTTGCCTAAACATAACGCATCCGTCGAGCTATGCTGAATATCATAACGATATGGACAGCTACTATCACCAGCATCAGCATCAGCAACAGCAACAACAACCACAACAGCAATATGTGCCGCATGTCCGTGAATTTCGTGATCCTTGGGCAGATTATTATGAGCAAGTGGAGCGAGAACTGAATGAGCCCGAACCAGAAGCCGAGCCCGAGCTCTGGCATAATGAAAATACGAATGAGAGTTCATGTGAAACGCAAGTGCATGGCGAGAGGAGAAGGAGTTGGGGTCAGAGCGATGCATGCCGAAATGATAGACCCAGATCCACATCACCAACACCTCAAGCACGATCACCACCACCACCACAACAACAACAACAACCACCACCACCAGCACCACCCACTGCCAACGAAGATTATAGAGCAATTGATGTAAATAGCAATGAGCAAGCACCCACCCACGAACCACACACGAACCACTCCGTGCATTGTCCAACTGTACAGCACACGACACAAACCACCTCAAACCACACACAAATCGAAGAAGTTCCCGTTGCTGATGAGGTAAAACAAAATTAAGAAAACAATATTATGAATCGGGCAAATCTCAAAGTGCACCACACCAAACCACAACAGCCACAACCACATGCCCCACAACAAACCATCTCCCGCTCCTTCTGTTTGCTGATTTGATGTAATTCTCATTGCTTTGGTTGCACTGTCTCTCATGTCTCTCGTCTCATGTCTCTCGTCTGCCATACACTCCTTGCCCCCAATATGTCGCAGTGCGTCTCGTGTCGCTTGTCCTGCGTCTCGTCTGGTGTCTAGTTAAGTTGGCATTGTGCAGCTGCTGCCGCCTGCTGCTTGCCACATTTGCATGTCCATTATCACACGTTGTTATCACTGTCCACTGTCCACTGTCACTTCATTATCTTCATGCACATTATCGACAACAACAACATCATCATCATGATGTTTGCGGGTTGTTGTTGCTGCTGCTGCTGCTGCTGCTGCTCCATTTGCTGATTTATTGCTTGCTTTGGCCTATTGGAAGGGCATTAGCTACGACGTGGCAGGGGGTTTGAACTGGTCAAGTCTGTGTGTGTGTGTGTGTGTGGGTGTGTGGGACTTCACCGTTAGCTGCTGTGGCAGTTGCAGTTGCATTTGCATATAAAAAGCATTCAAATGCCAACAGCATTTTTTATTGTTGTTTATTGCACACACAAACACACGAACACACACACACTCACACACAGACAGCGCTGGTGCCGCACTCCATCTTCATATAGCATATAGAGTAATCTGCCACAAGGTCTGCTAGAGGACATGCGGTAATATGTTGCAGTCAGCAGCTTGCAGCAAGGGGCGCGCTGATTTATGACCCCCCACCGAGCAGCATTTTGTTGTTACGTCATATTAATCATACGCCATGTTGTGCACGCGCAATAAACCTCAACACTAACACTTGAATCTACCTTAAGGAAATTACTTTAAATTTTGTATATAAATCTAAGTAAATGCAAATACTAATCAATTTGTAAATCAAGCATGCTTCTATGTACTTTAGTTGTGTTATCCATAAACAGTTTGTTTTGTGTACGCACTTGGCAGCACTGTTTTCTGTGGCACTGTATAACACTGGCAAATTGGATACTTTCAGGCTGGTCTCGCTGGCGCCTTGGCACAGCTGCGCATCGGCGTCGAACGCACACCCGAACAGGAGCAGTACGAGAATCTGATGCGTCGCCAGTGTTGGGAATCGGGACAGATTGACTATTCGGGCGCCGATGCGTTCGACAATATCTGGAAGAAGATCACGCAGACTCTGGAGGCCAAGCCCGACAAGGAGGCGGAAGCGGAGGCTGACCAAACTGGTAGTTCATAGATACAAAATAATATATATATGTAGAGAACAAAAACATAAACAAATCGTTTGTCGTTTTGTTCAGCCCACTGACAACTCTATATCCCAGCCCAACACACGCACACACACTTGCACACAACTGTGCCAAGTTTTTGAGTCTGATCAAAAATGAAAAAAAAAAAGAAAAAAACAGAAGGAAACTTAAGCCAAGTGCTGTCAAGTCTCATTCAGATTGTCATATTTAATTGCTACACCCAGACACACGCACACACGCACACACAGGCACGTATGTTGTAGCCTAGTAAGCGGCAGTAGCACACATATCATAAAACTGAAAAAAAAAAAATAAAAAAGAATATATGTAGAGGTATATATATGAGAGCAGACAAATTTTAATTAAGTTTTCAAATTAAACTTTTTACACTCGTTGCCGTCGCTGCTGCTCTCGACGTTACACTTGCAATGCATGTGTGTGTGTGTGTGTATGTGTGTGCATAAACGACGCACTTGGCTTTCAATTTAATTCACGCACACACACAAATACACACACGCACAAACATATCCTTGGCACCACAACCACTTGGCTCAGCCACAAAACTTTTACACTTCATTGTATTTTAATTGAAATTTGTTGTACTTTTGCCCTCTTGAGTCTTAACCGATTTGTGGCATCCACTTTTCAGCTCATCTGCATAAAACTCCTCATCAATTTTATTTAATTTTTTTTTCTTTCTGTTTTTAATGCAAAACGTGTGTATAAAATGTAAAATAATAATAAAACAAAAATCTCTTAAATATATATATATTTCGAAACTAACTTGAAAATGTTGCGTGTGTGTGTTACCTGTGTGTGTGTGTTTTAGCTTCCCCTCAAAGCGAGCTGAACGCCAACTATTTGTTTTAGTTGCTTTCTCACAGCAATAAAATCTTTCTTATACCTCTATGTTGTAATTTACATTGAAATATTGTCTATAAAATATTTATTCAAGAACACAAAACACAAAACAAAACCCTTCGTTTCGTCGCGAATCGTTTAAACTGTGCATTTTTATTTTAGTTTAAGATCTCCTCGTTTTTTTACCCCTTTCTCTCGTATTGTATGTGAGTTTGAACAATATTTTTTACATTTATTGTTTTCAGTCGTTTATTTCTAAGTTCTCAAAGCGCCATCAGACACTACATTACATTAAACCCAATCCATATAAGCATTTTTCGGCCGAGTTTTTTAGAATATTATCATATGCTGGGCCCATTTTATGAGATTGGCATTTATCATCGTTTTTATTCACAGCCTCAATCACTTTCTCTTAGCTCTCTTAATTTTTAGCAAATGCATTTCGCAATATTATGCATCTGTCATCTGCCATCACTCTCAATCAACAAGTTATCCAAAGTTTTGTGCTTAAAACAGCTAAAGTTATCACCTTCAGTCATTATTTATGCAATTGACTTGCCAGTTTTTTTGCCAGTTAAACAAACTACCCTAACCGCATTTTCCAGATAACGATAACGTTAACGATAACGATAACACGATAGGCTATAACAAATTGCTAACTAAAACCGCTAGCAGACTGCTGCAGCAAACGCACAACGCAACGCCAGCCAGGCCCAGCTCTGACCGCAGCCCCAGCCCCAGCCCCAGCCCCAGCTCAAGCTCGAGCTTAGCAACTAACCAGGGGTCAAGTGTGGCAGAGGCCAAGGCCAGCCCCGCAGCCGCCACAACTAACAAACTTCCAACTAACGCACAGAAACCAGTCTCCAGCAACACAGCTGTGGAGCAGCAACCGACAACGACAACGACAACAGGAAAGCCGCAACGTGTCCAGCCTGCGGCTCAAGCGACGCAACCGCAGCACATCCTTCAGCAGAGCCCGGCGCCCACCAAGCCGAGCCGACAGAAGGCGTCGCGTAAGTTCAAATAACAATTACTGCAGCTGCTGTTGCACTACAGCTGCCTGCCGCAACTGGCGACCAGGACAGCGAAGACGCCGGCGCTGCTCCGACTGACCCTGCAACTGGATAGCGACAACGAATCCGAATTCGTGCCGGAGCCGGTGCACGTCTAAGCCCAAGTACAAGTACAGTAAAACCTACAAAATGCTGTAAAAAGTTTGCTTAAAAGAAATTATTAAACAATTTACCAAATGCGCCTTAGATGAAACTAATTTGCAATATCTTAGCATAGGAATATTGAAGTGAAACCCTTTATATGGTTGATATGGCACATCCATACACGCACACACACACACTCAGACAGAGAATAAGTGGTTCGCAAGCTGCGCTTCACAGTCAATTTACTTACATATTGTACCATCTAATCCACACACACACACAAACACACAATAACACTACTTGATACAACTTCTTTACCAAACCCCGAAGAGCTCCTGACCTCCGCGGACATTCAGGATGGCAAGGTTGAGTACGACAGGGCCACCGGTGCTAGCACCAAGTACAAGCTGATTGAGGGTGGCTACGAGATGATCATCACCACGCCCCAGCCGAATGGTACGGTCAAGACCCAGGTGAAAACCTTCTGGGATCCGAAGCCTGTTAGCGAGGCGGATCTGGCCAAGGAGCAGGCAAACAAGAAGCTCGTCAAGCAGCGTCTGGGCAAGGAGATACGCATCGATGAGAGAACCACCATGCTGACCCGCGCCATTGAGGGCGGTTACGAGGAGGTCTACACCACCATCAATGACGATGGCACGCGCAGCTCGCGCACCAAGACTTTCTTTGATTCCGTGCCCACGGAAATCAATGAGAGCACCAACACCCAGGTGAACAAGACCAAGAAGAATGTTACACGCAAGTCGTCGGTGGACTCTACCGACTCCACGGAGTCATCCTCTCGTCGCATCGTTCAAAAGACGCAGAAGAACGTGATCCAGAATGTCAACGATAAGCAGTCGAACTATCGCGAGGATACCACCATCGAGGAGACGCGTCGGGTTAGCCAGAATATTGAGATCACCGAGAACAATCGCACCGTGCGCAAGAATTCGCTCCAGGAGCAGAGCATCAAGGCCATCTCTCAGAGCACCAACGATAGCGGCAAGAAGAAGAAGAAGCCCAAGTCATCGGCACCACCACCACCAGCGGACTTTGTGCAGAACGATACCACTACCGTGTCCTCGAAGCGAGTGCCCGGCGGCGTGGAGTACACCTACTCAACGGAACTGGAGTCGGGCAAGACCATTACCACCTCGAAGACCGTCTACGAGGAGGAAGAAGTCGAGCTGACTGAGGAGGAGATCAAGCAGTACAAGAAGACTTTGAAGGATGCTGAGAAGCTCAAGAACGTGACCAGCACCAAGAAGCTCAAGTCCGAGTCGGGCACCAAGAAGATTGTGCCCTCCGAGAATCCAGGCGATGTGACCACCGTTGAGACCATCAAGATCGAGGGCGGCACCGAGTACCACTATACCACCGTGACCGCTGAGGGTATTGTAAAGAAGGCAGTGAAGACTGTGTTCGATCCGGTGCCTAGCTCCAAATCGAACCCCGAGGATACCGACGAGGAGGAGATCATTGAGGAGTACGAGGAGGAGATTATCGAGCCCGGCGAGAAGACGGTCAAGACTATTGAGACTGTAAAGCAGTTGCCTCACAAGTTCCAAGGTAATCCATTAAAAATTTAACGCATTCAAAGCCCCCCAACTTAAACTAAACTCGATTTTCTTTATTAAACGCAGAGGAAGTGACCATCACCCATGAGAAGAAGGAGAAGAAGGTAAAGAAGTCCATGGTCATAAGCCATTAGAGCGCGCACGGCACAACCACAAAACAAACACGCACCCATCGAAACACACACACGCACACCTATTCACACGCTAGCTTTTGTATTCGTTGAAATTTAAAAAGTATATTTTGATCTGTAAGATTGGAAATTATGAGTACCCCTAATATGTATTTCAGCGCCCAGTTCAGATAGCTGTCGCTGGTCTCTGTACTCTTCTCGTAAGCTTTCTTATAAATTATTTGGGCAGCAATTTGTTGCCCTGAAGCGAGTTGAGAAAAGTCATTTGTCTATGTTTACTGAACACTCAAAATTGTATTAAAAACTCTAAGAAAATAACTATACATTTATTCAAACAATTTAACATTATATTTGTGGCACACTTTTGTTTATCAATAAAACGTTTTGAGTTAAAAAAAAAAACAATCCAGGATTTTCTAGCTTTGTTTCGACTTTTTTTAAGGCTTCTTTGCAGAATTAAAATTGCGACAAGCGAGGAGCAGACCTGAAATGGGCAACACAACTATTGTCAAGGCAATGCAAAGGATATCCAGTAGTTAAAATTTATACAAGGTCAGGTCCAGACCCGCATATATAAATGTAAATGTACAGTAGTCCACGCCCGTTATTGTACCCTTCTCAACATTCAAATACTGGTCGGCATAGACGGGCATGCCGAGCATGGGAACGGAGTAATGTAACGCCTCCTGAGTCCCGAAAAGACCACAGTGGAAAATGAAAACCTTGACATTTGGATGACCAAGGAGGAGGGGCATACATTTCAACAAATTAAAGAATATCCTGAGCTTTTCGGCTCAAAAGTCTGCGCCGGATCCTTTTTGGATACCTCAGTCATTCATCACAGGGTATTCTGTAAGGAGTCTTCATTTTCTCGTATCAAGTCTTCTATTATCAACTATTTATCATGCGAATAGTGTTTATCTCTAGTCTAGTTTTAGAGTTTAATAAGAGGCAATAAGATAAGGGGAAAAGGGGAGTGTGAGTCAGAATGTTAGCCGACTGAAAACACCAAACGTTTCGATATTAGAAACATTTTGAGAATGTATTCAAAATAATTAACACAATATTGCTTATCATAATGAGTTATTGACATAAATGAGGACTTTGTTAGTTTTGCTTAGCCTTTGTTTTAGGCTTCTTCGCAGAGTTATAATTGCGACAAACGAGGAGAAAACCTAAAATGGGCAACACAACGATTCCGAAGGCAATGCCAAGGATGTCGAACAGGTAAAACTGATACCAAGCCAGGTCCAAGCCTGCAGATACCATATGCGGTGCTCCACGGTGTTCAATGACATAATCGATCCAGAACATGGCCGTATCCATCGCAGGCAGCGGACGATCGCGAAAGATGCGCGAGGCACGCTTCATGTTATCCCTGTACTTGGGATTCTCCAGCAGCTCTGTAAGGGAAGACTGCAGCTCCTCCTTTGTAACTGTGAGATAGTTGACTTCAAGGGCATAACCAGCAGCTGTGCCCTTCTTAATATTCAAGTGCTGGTCGGGGAAGGCGGGCATGCCGAGTACGGGAACGCCGTAATGTACCGCCTCCTGAAAGCCGAAAAGTCCACCGTGGAAGATGAAAACCTTCACATTAGGATGAGCAAGTATATCAGTATGGGGCATCGACTTTTGGACCATCACATTAGCCGGCAGATTGGGTAACTTGTCATATTCGAAATGCCACAGGACGCGTTGCTTTAGGCTTCCAAACACACCGAGAAACATCTTGATCTTCTCAGGCGGAAATGCTACACTGGGCACTTGGCAACCTTCCAGGAAATATATCAACCACGATCAAGGTTCGAAAATCGTAAATACAACTTACCTAGGCTTACATAGATTGCTCCATGGTTAGCTTGATCCAAAAACTTTTGCATGTTTGTGGGCAAGAGTTTCGCTGATCGAATATGAAGTCCACCCACGGGAACCATATTGAATGAAACGGGCCTAGGCGGCTCCAAAGGCAAATATGTGTTCAGAAGGATGGCTGAGATGTTACGCTCCAGTTGCTTAATGGTTGGCAGCTCCTTGAACTGCTTGGAGAAGTGTTTCTGCAAGATATTATTAAGTGCCGGATAGTACCAAAAGGTGCGCAAAGCGTCCTCTACAAGCGAGCTGTAAACGTTATCAACTCGTTCGAAAAAGGACATGCGATCTCTGTAGGGCTTCCAGCCGTGAGCTACATATGACCAGGGATTTATAATGCCCGTCAAGGAAGAGAAATAGTTGGAGAAGCCAAAGGATGTTATGGTAATAATAGGAATTTGATATAGATAGCCCAAGAAGAGGGCGCCCTCATTAAAGAACTGCTCCGTCAGAAGCAAATCATATTTGCCCAACTTGTCCTTGGCATTGATAAAATTCAACACTTCCTTCTGCTCGAACGCAAAGTCCGTGCTACCCAAGCCGATGACATAGGCCATCCTGAGGAATGTAACCGTGTCCAAATCTCTCATGTCAACCGCTGCCTTGGCTTTGTTCATATCCATAACTGCAAGTGACGGACAAAAGCTGTTTAAGCTCCTGTTTACTTCAATAGACTTGCCTGCGCTCCAAATGTTGTATTGTGGAATTAGAACCTCCGTATAATTGGAGCCCAAGTTCTCCTTGGCCAATGAGAATGGCGTGACGAAGGTCACCTCGTGTCCGCGCTTCACCAGTTCTTTGATAATGGCGTTTATCATCATGAAGTGACTCTCGCCGAGAAAGAAGATGGGAGCCAGTATCCGGTATCCGGCTCCAATCTCCAACAGCTGCAGCGCCACAAAGCCCAGCAGAAGGAGTTTCAAGGCAATCTTTGGTTGCTGAAGATCATTTAGATAGGTTATCAATGGGCGTACAAGAGTTCGTGTTAAATTGATGATCTGTGTCACTGGAAATTGTAATATGTATTGCAGTCTTGTCTTTATGATAATTATTTGAATAAAACCGATTGCGATCTGTTGCCAACTTGTCCATGAGAATTATCTATAAATATTAATAATTCTGTTCAATAGCTTTTGAACGTGACGTGCGTGTTAAGTGGCATTATTAGGATATAGATGCAGTTGCAAAACGTTTTTGCATTATAGAGAGGCGATTTAAAATTTTGCGAGCGAGAGATAGAGAGAAGCAAGGTATAAAGGTCTGAGTAATAGGTCTGAGAAATACGGAGCAACGCTTGCTAAATTATGATCAAAAACTTGTTGAGCCCTTTGTCTTTGGCTTGGTAATAATATCATACGAAGTTACGACTATTTAACTTTGTGCACATTTTTGATCCTCAAATTCCAAATAATTTGATTTAATTTGTCGATGCTTCGTTGATATACACACCATTTTCAGTTCCCACTATGCACTATGCGTGTTTCCGATTTTCGACCGACCGCTGCACTCCGCGATTCACAGACGACTGAGTCGCTGGATCGGTATCGGATCTCGTATAAAAAATATATATATAGACTTGAGGCAAGCTATCGGTGACGCGTCTTTTGAAATATAGTACGAGTTAATATGCATTTCATATACCCTGCAGTTATTGATTTGGTTGTCTGGGCATATGCCATGAGAGATGCTTAAAATATTCCATCCAATATTTGATATAACAATAGTTGATGAATAGTTGCTCGCTATTATAAAATATAACATTGCTAGCTGCATTTGACACACGTCTAAATGGACTCCATAGAGTATAGAGTAGGACTAGCTCGTAATAGTCACACATTTGCTTATTTAGTGTTTAAAGTTAAGTATAAACCGACTCGGTCGGTGCAGCTTAAACGAATGTAAATAAAGAGAATCACTCGCCGGGAGGAAATTGGAGATGGACGACTTACTTAGTAGCGCATAGAAATTGGAGCTCACAAACCGAATACGAAGGGTGTTTGTTGGGGAAGCTGAAGAGGATATGAACTAAAATAGGTAGGAGGCTCAAGTCGGGTAGAGGATACCTTTCTCTACCAACCCAAAAGGTAGCTCGCGCTACGTGCTCGTTTGCTTTATCAGTAATAAAAAATTTGTAGAAAGAGTTCTCTCTTTTGGGTGCAGCCGACCGAACAACTTGCCACCGCCTCCACTCGATAGCCATAACAAGAATTAATTTTCAACGAAAAAAAGCTAATTAAAATAGCAGCATATACATACAGCACTAAATATAATACAATCGCAATTGCAATGCTGTTTATAGAATCCAATAAAGACGTTCCTGAATGCACGTGTGCACATGTATAAAGACGCTCATGCAATTTGCGCTAGCTGCGTTTTCAATATACGCACAAGATTTCATTAATAACTTCTGATTTCCTAACCGATCTGGATGCAATTTCAACAGTAGATCTTCTTGTTCAATAGAATATTTCTGTTGCATTAAAATTGTTGCTTAAATTAGGGACTAGTTTCCATCGGACGCCGTACCCTGGGAAGGGCGGGGTATACCCGATAGTCGTGCATATAGGGTTTGTCTCTAGTATTAGCCTATTTTTATAATTAAAAACTCTTATCGTAGATAGCACAGCTGCACCTTCTGTTGGTTGCACGCAAAATGAGATGCAGTTCATTGATTAGACATTTGCGTGAAAAATATAAAATAATAATAATATAATGTGGGGTACTTTAGTTGCCTGCTGATGCAAGTGTCAAGAAATGCTTCGTATTCTTCCCGATTCTTAATAGTAAACGTTCGCAAGATATTGCTTCTAATATAAATCACGAAAAATCATGTAGAAGGGCTGTAATAAAGAGATGGCTTTGTTAGGGAGAAAATTGGAAAATATGAAAGGACGGGGGCATTGAGAGAGGCAGAGAGAGGTGAGAGAGAGAGAGAGAGAGAGAGTGAGAGGGAGGAAGGGAGGTAGCTAATTAACTAAAAACTCCAATATAGTAAATATTTATTAGAAACATTTTAAAAAGTTATGCAAACTAATTAACATAATTACAGCACAATTTTGCTTTTCAGTTGAAGTTAGCAACATATAAAAAGACTTTGTTAGTTTTGCTTGGACTTTGTTTTAGGCTTCTTCGCAGGCTTGAAATGGCGACAGGCGAGGATCAGACCCAAAATAGGCAAAAGTATAATTGCCAAGGCAATGCCAATGATGTCCAACAGATAAAACTGATACCAAGCCAGGTCCAAGCCTGCAGATACCATATGCGGTGCTCCACGGTGTTCAATGACATAATCGATCCAGAACATGGCCGTATCCATCGCAGGCAGCGGACGATCGCGAAAGATGCGCGAGGCACGCTTCATGTTATCCCTGTACTTGGGATTCTCCAGCAGCTCTGTAAGGGAAGACTGCAGCTCCTCCTTTGTAACTGTGAGATAATTGACTTCAAGGGCATAACCAGCAGCTGTGCCCTTCTTGATATTCAAGTGCTGGTCGGCATAGACGGGCATGCCGAGCACAGGAACGCCGTAGTGTACCGCCTCCTGAGTGCCGAAAAGACCACAATGGGAAATGAAAACCTTGACATTGGGATGCGCGAGTATATCATTTTGGGGCATCCACTTCTGGACCATCACATTAGCTGGAAGACCGGGTAACTTGTCGTCCTCAAACTTCCATAGGACGCGTTGCTTCAGGTTTCCAAACACACCGAGAAACATCTTGATCTTCTCAGGCGGAAAGTCTGCACTGCGCACTTGAGAACCTGTCAGAAAATGTGTTAACCATGGTCAAGGTCAGATAATAGCAAATACAACTTACCCAGACTAAAGTATATGGCCCCATGTTTAGCATCATCCAAAAAATTTTGCATGTTTGTGGGCAAGGGCTTCGCTGATCGAATATGAAGTCCACCCACGGGAATCATATTGAATGAAATGGGCTTAGGCGGCTCCAAAGGCAAATATGAGTTCAGAAGGATGGCTGAGATGTTACGCTCCAGTTGCTTAATGGTTGGCAGCTCCTTGAACTGCTTGGAGAAGTGTTTCTGCAAAATCTGATTTTGTGCCGGATAGTACCAAAAGGTGCGCATTGCTTCCTCTACAAGCGAGCCGTAAACGCTGTCAATTCGTTGCCAAAGGGTCATGCGATCTGTGTAGGGCTTCCAGCCATGAGCCACATACGACCAGGGATTTATAATGCCCGTCAAGGAAGTCAAATAGTTGGAGAAGCCAAAGGTTGAAATGGTAATGATAGGTATTTGATACAGATGTCCCAAAATGAGAGCTCCCTCGTTAAAGAACTGCTCGGCCAGCAGCAAGTCGTATTTGCCCACCTTGTCCTTGGCATTGATGAAATTCAACACTTCCTTCTGCTCGAACGCAAAGTCCGTGCTACCCAAGCCCATGACATAGGCCAGCTTGATGAATGTCACCGTGTCCAAATCTCTCATGTCCAGCGCCGTCTTGGCTTTGGTCATTCCCATAACTGCAAGCGATAGTTAAGATTAGTTAAAAGCTGTTTAAATTTTTGTTTACTCCAATTGACTTGCCTGAGCCCCAAATGTCGTATTGTGGAATTAGAACCTCCGTGTAATTGGAACCCAAGTTCTCCTTGGCCAATGAGAATGGCGTGATGAATGTCACCTCGTGTCCGCGCTTCACCAACTCTCTGATAATGGCGTTTGTCATCATAAAGTGACTCTTGCCCGGAAAGAAGAAGGGGGCCAATATGCGGGATCCAGCGCCAATCTCCAAATGCTGCAGTGCCACAAGGCCCAGCAGCAACAGTTTCAAGGGTATTTTCGGTTGCTGTAGGTCATGTAGATAGTTTAATAATGGGCGTAAAGAGTTATGGTGAAATTGTCGATCTATTCCACTCGAAACTATAATCTCAATCATCATCTTATCTTTATGATAATTATTTGAATAGCTGCCGTTTACGAAAGGCTTGTACATTTATAACTTGATTTCTTATCTGTCCAATGATTGCGACCTGCTTAAAGCTTTTACCCTCTCACCAGCGTGTCTATGACAATTATCTATAACTATAAATAATTTCGTCTAATAGCTGTTCAACGTGAGGCTTTAAGTGGCATTATTAGGGCTGTAGATCTAGATAACTGTTGATATGATGTCTCAAAAGAGAAGCGATTTAAACGTTTGCAAACGTTTGTGAATAGAGAAAGAAAGAGGGAAGCGTGGCACAAACATTTGAGCATAAAATTAAAACGAGGGAATGTTTGCTTTTTTAGTTCTGCTAAAATATGATCAAAAACTCGTTGAACTTCTTTAGCTTAGGCTGGCGAAATTCTTCTTTTGAAATTACAATTATTTAGCTTTAGGCATTTTTTTGGTTCTCTGCCAAAGTTCTTCGCCTAATTCAAATAATTTAATTTAATTTAACAATGCCTAATTGTTGTACACACCATTTTCAGTTCTCACTGGGCACTGCGCGTATTTTCCAATTTTCGGCCGACCGTCCCACGCCGCGATTCATAGACGACTGAGTAGCTAACCCGGCATCGGTTCTCATATAAAACGTATGTTGTAGAGCAGAGACAACTTATCGGCTACGCGCCTGTTGTGAAATAAGTTATGTTAAGTTGTTGTTTTTCATATATACCCTGCAGCTATTGATTTTGTTGGCTGGGTATGCCATGAACAATCTTTCTGCTAGTACTTACTTACATAGCTCTTAGTTAATACAGAGCTCTGTGCGAATTGTCTAGCAATAATTAAATTTAATAATCAAATCTTTCAACTATTTGCTTAGATAGAAAAATCCAAGTTCTGCGCTCACGAAGAATTACCTAGCCTCCCAATTCGATGTATGCCATTGTATAGGGTATTATAATTTAATCACAGCATATATGCTTCATCAGGCAAAGATATATTATGGAAATTATTATAATTCATTCACGAAATATGTGAAGCATATAGCAAGATGCCTTCGATCCTATAAAGTATTTATTTATTATCAGTATTAACACCCGATGCGATTCGATTCGATATTTATGTTCGTCTATCTCTTTATAGGGACGATCGGTTGAAAAACGAGTTTGCGTAGTAAGAAATTGTTTGCGTTCTACCAGATTTATATTTCGTAACATTATTGCAAAGGCTTTAACTTCTTCTCAATATGAATGTCTTTAAGGGTATTCAATCTTCGGCGTGCGTTCTTTCTTGTTTGTGTTCGTTTTGCTTGGCTGGTGAGTCGACAGTTTTTCAAAAGTTCGGACTGCGGTATTATTGGTGATGTGCTGGAAATGTTGAGCACTGATTGGCGCGCACGTGTTATCAGCTGAGGCAGAATCAGTTGCTTTGTGGATTACAGAGAGACACATGCATATCAACAATCTTTATTTGACGGCAATAATTGCAGCTAGATTAAATAGTTGATGATTTAATGACTTTTGGATTTGCTATGCTTCTTGCCGCTGCCCCGCAGCAAGCGTAAGGCCAGCAGCAGCAGAAGGAGCACAGCCAAGCCAACGGCTGCCACAAAGCTAATTACATCCAGCAGATAGAA